ATATGGTATGAAATATTGATTCAACCGTACATGATGGGTGGATCCGGCTAACATGCCATTTCCTATTGGTTTAATTCACCTGGGTTACTCATTCATGTTAAGATAATTGACATAGCATAACCGTAAGACTATCATTTTGGTTATGGTCTTGATTTATAGTCACGCCTGTTATTTTCTGGGAAATTAAGCAAGTATTGCGACGAGGGGCTACTATCTTTGGTAGTTGGAATTGGTTTGAAGAGTTTTGTTTCACTCACTCACATTTTCTGTTTTTGTACCCCTCCAGGTTCTAGTAGCAAAGTTCTGTATCGACGAGGATTCGTGGCACTTCCCAGTGTATGTGGCTTCTTATGATGGTATAATCATTATCTTACCTTACTAGACTTTACTTATGCTTTGTATCATGCGTGAAATGGGTTCAGACCCGCTCACTGCGCGCTCGTGTACTTAGGCACTTTTAGATTTTAATTTATTCACATTTTATACATTATCACACTTTATGGCTTCGTCACCTTCCAGATGTCGGCCAACACGGCTCGATTCGGGGCCTGGTGAACATTCCGCGTCGGGATGTGTCAATAACAGGAGCTTCACCTTTCTCTCGAAAAAGAGAGAAAGAGGAGGAGAGGACAAAGGAGATGATTTTTTTTTTAAAATTTTGTCACCTTTGTATTATAAAATGATATTCTAATTAAATTATTTTAGAGAAAATCAAAACTCAAATGCAAAGATATGGATACACTATGTCAGCGCATGAGATTTCTCAAAATTTGTTATATATAGCAAAAATCACATGAGCTAAGTTATGAGAAGTAGAGGGATTAAGCCAACTGGCCTAACTGATTTTTATATTCAATTATTCTTTTTTCTTAACCACGTTGTTCATATTTTGTTCAATTATTGTTGTTAGATGAACTATTTGTAAATGGGTAATGTCAGGAAGATTAAATTTGAAGACAAAATTTTAAAAACTAAAATGACATGAAAGTTGATGATTGGTTGATTACTTAAACGTTGATAAACGTATTTAATCCTATTGGTGACACATCATTTAGTTTACAAATTTAGTCTCCCTAACATTACTCTTTATAAATAACTTCATTGAGTTGCTACATAAAACGTACAAAATAAATATTCGAAGTTTATCGGCCAATGGAAGGTTATCTAAATCCCACCCACTATATTATATTTTTACTCAGGTTATAGTGCAAAATGTGGGCTCGTTTAGAAGTATTTTTAAAACGATTTTTTTTATTCTAAAAACATTTGAAGTGTTTTATACAAGAAGTACCATTTATGTGTTTTTTGCATGTAGAAAATACTTCAAATGTTTCAGAATTCGCTTACTTTTTTGCTAAGAATTGGTTCCAAAAGAAATTTCTTCAAAAATGGTTTCAGTCATTACATAAGCACTTCCAAACAAGTCTAATATCACTACAATTAAATGGGACATTTATAAATAAGAAGTATTAAGTTTGACTCAGATGAATGAATTTGTAACATTACTAACTCATTGTGTAATTTCGCTGAACCATTTCTGAAGTCATCCCGATCGAATACCGTCCTTGTATTAAAAGAAGGGTAGTGTTATTCATACTCTTTTTTTACCTCCCACACATCCTTGTTAATTTTTGCCCCTTGATCTTCTTCAATTTTTTCGATCAGAAAACTAAAAATTAAAAAAAAAAAATATATATATATATATATATATATATATATATATAAGGTGAAAATGATTGCGTGTATAGCACCACCACAAAACAAAAAAAAAAATATGAACAACATAACTTGGTTCCGTGCCGTTCATATATAATGCTGTTAATAACAGATTAAAAATCATATACCACCAAAACATAAGAGGATCCAGTTTCTAGTACTGTCTTTGAATTCTCTCTCTGTCATATGCAACTCAAGAAAATGACTGCCACTGATAGAGTCTTTCTCTCCCACTATGAGAGTCTTTCTCTCCACCCCCGTGAGAGCCTTTTTAGTCTATGTGCTGAGCTTTCTTTAGACTTCATCTCTTTCGCCGCCGGTCCTTGCCAAGCCTTGGGTCGGTGGCTCTCGAGTTTAGTTCTCCTTGCAATCTTTCCGCTGATCATCACCAATTTGTGCTTTAATTTTCCAAATCCTATGCCATCAATTCCAATTTCTTTTAACCAATTTTCCCATCCTCCACCTCCTTGGCTTTCCTTAAACCCATTTGATTTCGGATTTGTAGCTACTTAACTTAAATGCGTTCTGACGCGATTATCACGGGATGTGCATAGAGTTCCGGTGCAAGTGATCACACCACAACCTCTCACGGATTGGGAAGTGTGTTTTGCTTCAGCTTGGGTGTTTACACCACCACCTCCCATGGATTTGTCTTTGACGGCTTTGTTGCCATTAGTGACTTTGTTGCTGATGAGTTCTCTCACCAGCTTCCTTTGGTTTGCTATTGATCTATCATCTATGATGCTTTATGAAGGTTGTTGATGTTGTCATTCCATCATTTTTGTGGAATTGTTTGGCTGGATTTTATGTTGAACGAATGTTTTCCGGTGATGCATCAAAGGTGGTCGCAGGGAATCTAGGGTTTTCTGTTTCTTTTGCTTTTTGGGCTCAAACTTTTGGTTTGGGCTTTGTTTTGGGGGTCCATATTTTTTTTTGGACTTTTCTTGTAATTGAACCTCACCCGTTGTAAATTTTAGTGTGTTACGGTAATATTTCTACTGCTTTGATCGAAAAAAAAGAAAATGACTGCCACTATTTTGCTTACTTTTTGGGGACGTCTAAATATTGTTCTTAGAGCAACTCCACCGTTGCAAAGGCTCCCTAGGGCAAGTCACTATTGAATAGCCTCCAATGAACAGTAATTGCCTTTTGCATCTCTATCCCTACACTGAATAGCCATGGCAATAGACAATAAAATATTAGTATTTTTTATTTTATAAAATAATACAAAATAATTTTATTTGTAATTTCGGATATGATTTTTAATCAGTCTTGTTGTACCACGTGTCATTAAATAAGAAATTACAACCCAAAGTATTTGAGAAAATATAAAATTATGGTGTAAGTTGGAAGATAATGATAACATATTTATAGAAAAATTAAAAAAAAAATTTTAATTTTTTTTTAATTTTTTACTTTTTTTAATTTTTTTTAGTTTTTATTACTTTTTTACATTTTTTAAATTTTTATTAATATTTTTTATTTTTATTAATTTTATATTGTGGTTGACGTCACCTTGACGTCAGCCATTCATCACTTGGGCCTTAGGCTCTCGGGCTGTGGATTTGTGTTTGGCCTGTCCAACGGGCCTCCCCCGAGCCCCATTGCTCGCATGGGCTGGAGCTGATTGCTGGGGCTATTGCCTCATTTCTGTCACTTGTCTATCAGGCCAAATACAGTGGTGGACTTGCTCTTAGAGCAACTCCACCCATGGAGCCCTCCCCCCTGACAATCCACTATTCAATCCACCCTATTGAACAGTAACTGCCTTAAATGAACAGTAACTACCATTAATGAACAGTAATTGCCATTTACATCTCCACCCTTGGAACCCTCCCCCTGACAATAAGCAATTAAAATAATAGTTTTTTTTGTTTGTTTAAATAATAAAAAATTGCAAAAGCTCCGGTCCCCCTCTCTCTCTCTCTGACACAAAAAAAATAAAAAATTGCAAAGCCCTCAAGCCACAGGCCCGTCGACTCCCCACCCCCCCCTTCGCTCGGGCTCCCACCGGGCCTTTAGCCCCTTCTTCTCCACTGTCCCCCGAGCAACCCACATGGATGGAGTTGCTCTTATGGGGCATATGAAATTGAACCCCCCCAACCTATATTATATTAATTTTTCTTCCACCATAAATATTGTCATCTGGCACAAAAAGCAAGAAAACAAACCCCCACTTACAATCAAATCAATTTGTTTAATTGTATTTTACGGTGAGTGTATTTTTACTCATCACTTATAAAATATATATTTTTATCAGGTTACTATGAGGAAATTTGTTAAAATCTTGTTATTAATGGATTCTTAACATGTGGTCAAGTACAAAATTATTAGGTCTAGATGTAATCCCTCTCACTTTTTTATATCAATATTGTTATTCTTTATGAACCTAATATAATAAGTTTCTACTCTTATCTTATCCATCCATTTTTTATTGATTGTTTAGTCTTGTATCATAATTAAAGCTCCGCAGCATGAGAAACACACTCTATCAACATATTGTTAGTTTAGTGACTCCTACATTATTGGGCAATGAGGAAACATCCACGTCTCATCACACCTTTATCTCTCTCGCACGTTGGAGAGGGTACTGTCAAAGTTTCAAAGACTTAGTGGATTATTACTACTCACGTTATTATTATTTTAACTTAATCATTTGTACAATTCGATAATTATTGAGTTATAAAAAGTCTTTGATACAATTAGAATCAAAATCATTCAAATATTAAAAGAGATTTAATTTCATAAGATTTCCGGTGCTAGAGATATACTTCAACAAGCGAAAAACGAGAGTGAAACAGCTGAGAAGTACAAATAAGAGTTTCGTGCAGTATATGAATAGACAATACCGTACTCTCATGCTTGTTTGTATTTTTTGTTTTTGGTGAAGATGCTTGTTTGTATTTTAGTATAGGAGAGAATGGAGCCTAAAACATAGAATTAAACTAAGCATAAGACATAGAATTAAACTAACTTAACTAACTTGAAGTGGCCTACTCTCTTGTTTTTGCCATGAGTAATTAAACTGTGCATATGGAAATTTGACATTTTATTTTTACTCTGTAAGCTGCCTAAATTTAAGTTCAAAGTCGATAAATTAGGCCATAATTTAGCCTGTCTGCAAACAACCCTCTCTAAATTCGTAACTAATTAGCTTTTTCATGAGAGAATGACTCAAACCCTAATCAAAAGCGGCCCTGGTCTTTAGGCTTGAGTCTAAACTTTGCTCAACATGTGTCGAGCAATGAATGGAGCTGAAAAAGCTATAAAATCCCCCTCACTAACCTCAACATTTCATCATCATAAGGAAGTTGTAAGCATTTTTCAGCTGCCTCATATTTTCTTGTGTGTATTTGTGTAGAAAGAGAATTATACTTTATCAAGATGAACCAATCCCAGAACATGAGCCAACAAGCTGGCCAGGCCAAGGGCCAAGCTCAGGTGAGTCTAAAAGCAGCTGTCTAGAAAAGCACTTTGGTTAAAAGTTTGTTGGTCGTTTTGATGGTAGATGATCATGTGCTTTTGCAATTTTAATATACAGGAAAAGGCCAGTGGCATGATGGACCAAATGAGCAATGCTGCCCAATCTGCCAAGGAATCTGCCCAAGGGGTTTGAACTTCTTGTTCCTTTTGTTAATTCTACGTACATTACATCCGTTCTTTGCCAAGGAATAATTTTGTACCAATAACATGTCAATGCGCTATATTATTGACATGTTATGTGCAATGATATCAACGTCTTAATGGTACTGTATCAATAATCCGTCATTTAATAAAGAATCGTCGTCTACACTTATTATGCGTTGCATATGCATGTTGTAATTGCATGTATGTTTTTGCAGGCTGGTCAGCAAATGATGGAGAAGGCACAGGGAGCAGCTGACTCCGTCAAGGATGCAGTTGGAGCCAACAAAAGAAGCTAAGGTGATGGGAGATCTCATCCGTCTGATTCCTCCCAAATTTTGTGTTCCTGTTTTTGTTTTGTGATTCTATTTTTTTTTTTTTGGGTTGATCTTTTACTTAAACTTGCCATTTGAAGCAAGAACAAGGTCTGATCATGTAATCGCTTATTGTTCATTGAACATTACGCTAATAATTTCAATTATATTTGTTTGTTAATTTTTTATTTTTATTTTTATGCCAAATGAAATCGGAAGCCATTTCTACTTAATTGCAAATCACAATACAACGCATACAAAAACAATTCAACTGAGAGTATGCTCCTTTTGTGTCCCTGTGTTTTGTTTTGTGATTGTTTGTTATTGGGTTGATGTTTTTTAAACTTGAGATTTGAAGCAAGAACAAGGTCTGACCGTGTATGCTAATAATTTCAATGATTTTTTCTCCAGCACCAGTGTTTCTTCATTTTTCTTATGACAAATGAAATCGAAAACCATTTTTATTAATCTGCAAATCACAGTACGGAACACAAAATAAACCGAGAAAAATCAGTACGAGATACAAAATAAACCGAGAAAAATCTCACACACAAAGCTTTAGTAGTATGCTACTACATACGGCTTAACTCTTCTTCAAGACCTTCAGCAAATAGATAAGCAAAAGCCTCCATATAACGTTTTTCCAAAACCAACCCAACCTCAACTGCACCATCGCCATTCTTGCTCTTTTGATAAGATATCGTCCCTGTTCCATCTATCGAAACTATCTCTTGCTTCGTCGATCTCCCCCATATTCATAAAATTAATTTATGATAGTCTATCTCTTGCTTCGTCGATCTCCCCCATATTTATAAAATTAATTTATGATAGTCTACATATTTTTTTTAAAGTTAATTTTAAAAAAAATAGCCTAAATTTATTCTTTAATAATATAGGGCTAAAATTTTAAGCCAAAAGAGTTGGAGCAGAAAAACTGTTTCTAGATTAAAACTTAAATTTGTATTCCAACGGTTAGAGATGGTCTAACAGAGGTGCGTAGGGATCGACACTTGGAACCAAAAACCGAAACTGAAATATGAACAAAATTAGACCTTGAACGATTCGGTTTTGCCATTTTGAAACGATTTCAGTTTGAAACCAACCAGAGTTTGAAAAAAGGTTTAATTTCGGTTTTGAACATATGAAACCGCACCGCAAAACTTAAAAGGGTTTTTTCTATGGTTTTTATATTTGCGGAGCTTTTAATTTGGTCCTTGGGATTTTTTCTGGATTTGATCTGGTTGTTCCAGGCTTGCAGCTCCGACCCTCGAATTAGTATTGCTTGCTGTTTTTCTTGTTCGAGTACTTATATGTAAGTGGTACCATATTGTAAGCAGTTCAATGAAACTCACTAGTCATAACTATATCCACTAGGTACTACGATTACAATACATTCAATTCATGCCGAGTATAATACCGCACATAACATAAATTTATCACAAGAACACCAACTTGTATTCGACGCCATGGATGATATGCAAGTCAGTCTTCTACTCCCACTACTCAATAGCTCCCTTACTGTATGAATAGGTCTCAGTAATACTTAGGGTTTTTTCACATATGGGAGCAGAGACTATAACTTCATATATATACTGACAGGGTTACACAACCAGCCTATTAACATTTATATATCCTTATCATCTTAATACTGAATGAGTCCTATCATGATTCAATATCTTTGCATTCAATCCTTATCAGGATTTCTTTAAGTTAGTTGCATCGAGTTAAGACTCCGTAGTCCTCATGAATTAAAGATTAACTATACCACTTGTATTACAAATAACTCGAGAATAAAGTTGTCATCCAAGTAATATCAACTAACACTCATTGTCATTCACTAGAGCTTTACACATATGTCCACCGGCCTTATGCTCTTCCGCATAGTGAAGAAAACTCTGTAAAGTCATGTAATTATTGTTGCTTTTGTAGTTTTTGTTTAGAACTTTTCCAGATTATGAATCCCTTTGAGATTGCAGTGAAGCCGCTGAATCACGACGGCTCTGGTTTAAACTGGTGTACAGTTTGGAATATTATTTGGATTTTAGTGGCAATTTGAATCCCTTTGGATTGTATTAATGGCTAAAACATTTACTTTGCAAATTTGATACTGAAACTAAAATCATTTAAAACCGAATCAAAGCAAACCAAAATAGTTTCGGTTTTACGCAAAATTGCACCGAACCAATCCAAATTATGCCCACCCCCACAGGTGTGGCTTACCAACACATGAGTCTCACATCTGTTAGAAAAACATACAAATGATGATATAAATATATAATAATAGTATATTTTCATTTTTTGAAATATTATGCTCAAAGGGTAGGGCCTGGCAAACGTGTCATGTCTGTCGTGTCGTGTAACACCTGTTATCTTAACGAGTCGTGTCACATCCATTATCTTAACGGGTCCTTAACAGGTCGGGTCACTTTACCCACCTGACCCGTTAAGAAAATATTTTTTTTCTTAAATTTGCACATACCACACATTGCTACATAAATATTACTCAAAACATTAAAACACATTTGTTGTTTAAGTACTACATCTACACTCGAAAATAAGAGCATAACAAACAAACATCCATACACTACTAGTCTATTACAAAATATTAAATGTGCAAGGATATGCAAAATGAAAGAGTTTTTGTTTTCAAGGTTGTGAAACCTTTCTTAAAAGTTTAAACCTTGCCACTAGAACTCAAAGCTTGCATGTTATTCCTTTTACAAAATCCTCAATTTTCATCAATCATCACTAGTGTAAATATTTTAAATTGAAGATCGAATTCATTCATTGTATTCACATAGGGTCAAAGAGTGTAGCTGTAAAAAATCATCAAAATCGGAGTTAAAATAACCGTTAAATCGTGATTTTTAGTTGATAACCATCGAAAAGTTTTGTCCCGTTACTTGATCTTTGAATGTTTGTTTTTTACGATTTTTGGCGTATGCGATCTTGAAACATATACAAACAAGCTTGACGGTTGGATCGTTGAAATTAGTTTCGTAGAATGCGTATCCCATCAAAATGATAGATTCACTAACACTTAAAGTTTATTTATACTTTCATTAAGTATAACATAAAATTTTGTGGTATCTACTAGTGTATATATTTTTAATTGAAGATCAAGTTCATTCATTGTATTCATATAGGGTCAAGAAGTGTATCTGTAAAAAATCATCAAAATCGGTGTTAAAATAACCGTTAAATCGTGATTTTTTGTTGATAACCGTCGAAAAGTATTTTTCTGTTACTTGATCTTTGAATGTTTGTTTTTTGCAATTTTTGGCATATGCGATCTCGAAGTATATACAAACATGTTTGACGGTTGGATCGTTGAAACTAGTTTTGTAGAATGCATATCCCATCAAAACAATAGATTCACTAACACTTAAGAATATTCATACTTTCATTAAGTATAACATAAGATTTTGTGGTATCCACTAGTGTAAATATTTTAAATTGAAGATCGAGTTCATTCATTGTATACGTATAGGGTCAAGAAGTGTAGCTGTAGAAAATCATCAAAATCGGAGTTAAAATAATCGTTAAATTGTGATTTTTCGTTGATAACCGTCGAAAAGTTTTGTCCTGTTACTTGATCTCTGAATGTTTATTTTTTGTGATTTTTAGCGTATGCGATCTTGAAGCATACATAAACAAGTTTGGCGGTTGGATCATTGAAATTAGTTTCGTAGAATGCATATCTCATCAAAACGATAGATTCACTAACACTTAGAGTTTATTTATACTTTTATTAAATATAACATAAGATTTTGTGGTATCCACTAGTGTCAATATTTTAAATTGAAGATCGAATTCATTCATTATATTCATTAGGATCAAGGAGTGTAGCTGTAAAAAATCATCAAAATCGGAGTTAAAATAACCGTTAAATTATGATTTTTCATTTATAACTGTCGAAAAGTTTTGTCCCGTTATTTGATCTCTGAATGTTTATTTTTTTCAATTTTTGGTGTATGCGATCTCAAAGTATATACAAACATGTTTGACAGTTGGATCGTTGAAACTAGTTTCGTAGAATGTGTATCCCATCAAAACAATAGATTAACTAATACTGAAGAGTTTATTCAAATTTTCATTAAGTATAACATAAAATTTTGTGGTATCCATTAGTGTAAATATTTTAAATTGAAGATTGAGTTCATTCATAGTATTCATATATGGTCAATGAGTGTAGCTATAAAAAATCATCAAAATCAGAGTTAAAATAACCGTTAAATTGTGATTTTTCGTTGATAACCGTCTAAAAGTTTTGTCTCGTTACTTAATCTATGAATTTTTGTTTTTTGCTGATGCAATATCGAAGCATATACAAACAAGTTTGATGGTTGGATCATTGAAATTAGTTTTGTAGAATTCGTATCATATCAAGTTCAATGGTATATATATTTATTTATTAAGTAGATTTAAATTTATTTATTTTGTTCATATAACACTTAAGAAATTGAATGATATATATATATTTAAGCCGATCTAATGGTCATTAATTTTGAATATTTAATTATATATATAATTATTATAGTTTTTAGGGGTATAAAATTGTTATATATATATATAATTATAGTATTTTTTTTTGGGTTATAAAATTAATATTTTGCTTATCGTGTATCGTGTTACCTACTTGTATACCCGAACCAAACCGTTATCTTAACAGGTGTTTATCGGATTACCTGATAACGACCCGATTCGTTATCGTGTCAACCCGAACACCTTTTAATTTCGTGTCGTGTCTTGTCGGGTTATCGGGTCATGTCAGGAATTACCAGGCCTATCAGAGGGTAATGCTAAGACTATTTCCAAAGGAGATATCAAATATGCCAAATAGGATTAAAAGACATTTAGGTGTTCTTCAATGGATATGCTATATATGATATGACATGTGAGTCATTTGATTCCTTACTTTCTAGCTGCCTCTTTTGACAGCAAACAAGAAGTCAAATATATTTAATTGAATTTTTTTAATACATAGATCCCATTAATAACAAATAGAATAAAAACTACAATTAATTTTGATTATTTTTTAATAGTTAACGTAACTCTAGGCCCAATAAAATAATAAAATAAATATTTAACACAATTATTGAAAAAGAAAAGAATTTAGCACTTGTATTCAATTTGCCAGATCAGCCATCAAATAAAATTTAGACATATTTTATTTGACATTTCCTTTAGAAATGCTCTAAGGAAGACCACAATTTTAAATCAAATTTTGTAAATCAAAGAATGTGGCTGTTGATGATTAGATTATTAGTCAAGTGTTGATTAACGTGTTTATTTTCTATTGATAATATATCATTTGGTTTATAAATTTGGTTTAAAAATTTAATCTTTCTACTATTTTATACTCAAATACTCACTATTCTATTTAGTACCGTCATGAGTTCACTGCTAATGGCTCGGTGTCTAAATCAGGTCGGGTCCTCTTGCTCCACCGCCAATGACAAAGACGACGGTCTCGGATTCCAATTCGGTGCCTCCTCATACGTCGTCTTCTTTGTCTGGCAATGGTTTCAACAACGTGGCAAAGCCTTGTTCAACCATTTTTGTGATTGGACATCCGTCTACTCGGGTAATGGGTGCGGAGAAGGATTGTCTGCCATCCCAAGTCAGGTGCCCTTCCGTGTCTTTTTGTTTTGTGTGGTCACGGTTAAATCACGTTAATATTTTATATTTTTTTTATAAAGATAATAAGATAAAAATAATAGTAATATAAAATGTTGACATGAATTAACCGTCATCATATAAACAAAAAGCACGAAAAGACACCAGAAGTGAGACACAGACAATCCTTATCCAATGGGTGGCGCTTCGTTCAGAGAACCTTACGCTAATAATTCCAATTTTATGTTTTCTCTGGCACCAATGTTTCAGAGTGTTTGTTCAATTTATTTTTTTTATATTTTAATTGATGCCAAATGAACTCGGAAGCCGTTTCTACTTAATTGCAAATCACAATATGATGCATACCAAAACAATTCAATTGAGAGTATGCTCCTTTTGTGTCCCTGCAATTCTTTGTTTTTGGGTTGATGTTTCTTAAACTTGACATTTGAAGCAAGAACAAAGTCTGACCGTGTATGCTAATAATTTCAAAGATTTTTCTCCAGCAGCACCAGTGTTTCTTCAGAGTGTTTGTTCAATTTTTTTTTTTAATGACAAATGAAATCGAAAACCATTTTTATTAATCTACAAATCACAAAAAATAAACCGAGAAAAATCACAGCACGACACACAAAGCTTTAGTAGTATGCTCTACTACATACGGCTTAACTTTTCTTCAAGACCTTCAGCAAATAGATAAGCAAAAGCCTCCATGTAACGTTTTTCCAAAACCAACCCAACCTCAACTGCACCATCGCCATTCTTGCTCTTTTGATAAGATATCGCCCCTGTTCCATCTATCGAAACTATCTCGTGCTTCGTCGGTCTCCCCCATCCGAAATCCGCCGCATCGTAAAAATCAAACCGGGGTGAACCGGCGGTGGTAATTGTTCTATCAGTACTAGGCTGCAGTAGTGTATTCAAGATTCTTGAGACCCAAGTCTCTGCACCCTCGAAAAGGGTCTTGTCCAAACTTTTTATAACTTCACTAATTGCATTCAAGGCCACTAACAGTCCATCTTCTCCCTGTAGGTCTTTTGTTTTCGCAACTACTCCATGTCCTGCGATGCAATTCCCGAAATAGGTTGGTGGTAGAGGAGGGTCTAAGCGCGACCGGCAGTCCACGTGAAGGATGAATACTACTTTCTCTGTCTTGATCTCTTCAGCCCTGACTAAGCAAACCCATGTATAGGCGCATGTTAGCATATATGTCGACAAATGCAATAGTTTTGAGTGATCAGCTTGTTCCTTCTTCTTTGCCATCATAGTCCTCATCACTGACCGCCTTAACATTTCGATTTTCGCTCGTGTGAACTCGAAGGTGCCTCGAATTCCGTCTCCTGGACCTCCAACCTCCAAAAGCATTAAGCTTCTATTGTTTGGACCACCAAGTCTTAACCACTCGTTTGAGAAGATTGCTTGGAGCCCGGCAGGGTCCTTAATGACCTTTCTGTTGTAAGTTGGCAAGGGTGGCGGTCCTCCTCCTTCTCTTCCTCCATGTTTGCATAAGTGACCCCAAAATTTGAAAAACGAGAAAGCAGATAAGCCATCAAAGACGGCCTTGTGCATGGCTGATCCAATCGAAAAACCGCCATTGGGAAAGACGGTTATTTGCAATGCCAGCACAGCAGCTTTGTCATGAGACACTGCCAATTGGGGTACAAGAGGATGGTATTCTTTGGCTTCAATGTCAAAGTTGTTGGTTGAAATTAGACGGTGGAAATCAGTATCAGACTCGGCGATTGTGACCAAAATTGCGTCGCCTTTGACATAATTGAGAAGGGGCATGGGGGAGTCTAGAGGCCAGGTGAGGTTTCCTGCTAGAGGTACAAAGTGTTGGAGGGTGGCAGAAAGCGAGGTTTTAAGTTTCGGAAGTATGGAATCGAAGAAGTGTGATGGGTCGAAAGAAGGCAAGTTGTAGAAGGAAAGGAATTGAGGCGGTGGGAACCTTAGCCAGCGGAGGTCAAAGAATGTTAGAGGAAGAGACACATCATCCGGGTGGGCGGAGTCCGGCAGCGAGCTTGGTTTGGGAGCTACTCTACGAGCCTCAATAACTTTGACTGAGCCTGGTTTTGCCATCGGAGATGGAAAAGAATGCTGGACCCCTGAAACCGTGAGCCGAACAGAAAATTTACACACGGTTGGGTACAGTTTCAAAACCGAAAATTTTAGAAGAAACCGAACAAGAGAGACGAATTGGGATGGGCCGAAGAAGAGAGTGAATGAGGGGTGAGATGATCTACACAAGAAAGGAAGATGTAGTTTGGTTGTTGGAAGTGTCAGTAAGCTGCTTGGAAAAGTACTGTTCTTTTTTTTCCATGTACTTTCATGTCTTTTTTGTATGGTCACGGTTAAATTTAGTCAACATTTTATATTATTATTTATTTTTATTTTATTATTTTTATAAAAAATAATATAAAATATTAACGTGATTTAATCGTGACCACACAAAATAAAAAGATATGAAAAGGCATGAAAAACAAATGACAGACAATCCTTGTCCCTTGAAAAACACTCTCTGATATATTAAACAGTTTACAAACTGATTTGTTGAATTGAAAAATAGAATTGGAGTATTTTAAAGCCTTACGGAGAAGGCTTACTTGTACATGCAGAAAGGAAAGAACTACACAAGTGGTATTAACAAACAATACAAAATAAAGACTGACAGCAGCTTTAGTATGCCAGAGTCTACATCACATGGTAACCACATGCCCAACTTGTACTGTGAGAAAGCTGTTCGTGTTGTGTTGAACCACAAGCCTGCACAACTACCATTACTTTGGTTGTTGAATTTTCTCCAGGGAATTTTAACGAAAAATTTATGATACTGTTTACTTTAATGAAAAACTATATTTTTATACTAAAAAGTTAAACTTGGTACTATTTACTTTACCTTTTATTTTTGTCTTTATCATTAAAACACAAAGTTTTCAAGCCATTTTCATTAGTTTTCCTTTTTTCCTTACAGATCGTGAAAATCGTATGCCACAACATAGGAACGTCTTTGAGATTTCGGAGATCTTGTGCGAAATTCATAAAAAGGATCCTTCTTATAAGACATCCTAAAAAAAATTGAACAATAATATCAAAATAAACTTTAAAACTAACTAACCATCTATTTCTAAATATTATTAAATGTGAAGAAAGATACAAAGTAACAATAATACTAATAACTAACAATAGCTCATTTTTGAGATTGAGTCAATTGTTTAACTTTTCTTTTTCTTTGACACTCTAAGTAATCAGATAGATATTTTCTAATAGGTGTCATCTTTTATATCTCAAACAAGATCACAATAAAATTATAGTAAGTATAAACAATAAAACCTAATAGTCTGTAATATGAATGCGTCTAGTAATTTTTTTGTGACTGCTCTTCTCTTTATTTTTCCTTGAAAAGTACAAAAGAAAAAAAAAATCATTATAGATGAGAAATACCAAAATCTTCAAATTTCAAGTCAATATACTTAAATTAGTAAATATTCTATTTTGATCGAAGTCTACATCACTCTAATCAGTTGAATTGCCTTCATGATTCGGAAGTTTCTCTTCAATTTCATAAATTTATAAATTAGGGTTTAATAATTTGTGGGAAATATAACAAGGGAAAATTTGATATAAGTCCAATTTTGTGAGCCTTTATGAGATATGGTCCAATTTTGCTTGATTATTGACTTAGGTCCAATGGCTCATTGTACACATCAACTTATTTTTATTCTCCTGCCAAATTTATCCCTAAATTGACTAATTAAGTAATTAATATATTATTAATTTTTTTTATTTATGATGATTTTTAATCCTTATTTATTCATAGGATTATCTTATGCTTAATGATCGGATTAAGTATAGGAATTTAAATCTCTTTAATATTATTTCATCCTCCAAAACGTTTCCTATTCTTCCTTCTCTTTCTCCCTCACAATGTCTCCTTCTCATCCCTCATGATATCTTCTTTTTTTTCCCTCCTCCCTGCTCCCAAGCGTAGATGATCAAAGGTGTCCAACCTCAAATTTCTATTGTTGATTTGATTTGTAGAATTTAGCCAATCTTGTATGCTTTAATTCTTTTTTTTTTTTGTTGATGTTTCTCTGTTTTTTTTTTCTATTCTAAAACTCTTTCTTTCCTCTTCGTGTTTTACTCCCTCAGCATCATCTTTTTATTCATCATTTTCTAAGGATCTTCTTGGTATATATATCGCATTTTTTTTCTAATCTACCTCCGTGTGTTTTATATATACTACCTGTGTCATGGATAAATTGTATTATCTACCTATCACACATTATTCATAATCTATCTCAAGTTAATTGTGTTTATCTACCTGTATCATAGGTTATCTTGTTCTGTCTACCTTATACCATGGATTAATAGTGCACACACACATTATTTCTTGATATTCTAATTCAAATTAAAAATATTTATCTACCTATACCATAAGTTTTGTTCATTGCTTATATTATAGGTTTTGTTCATAGGTTGTTTATATATCATTCATTTCAACTTAAGTCGTGGGTTTATAGTCATACACATGAACTTTTAATTTTTTTCCTTAAATTGTGGCTAGATTGAGGAATTCGAAGATTCAAATTTGAGTAAATAATGCATAAATTAGGAAATTTAAATATATATTTATTTTTACTATAAAGGGAAAAACGGTAAGAACATCTAACTGGACTCAATCCAAAAGTAGCTGATTTTTTTGGACCTGGATCTAAATGCCCCATATAACAATGGGACGAAGAGAGAAGGGAAGAAGACTGGGACACTGGTGACATGCGTTTGAGATTTTAACTTCTAGTGCTCTAGTAATCTGATGTGAAAGAAGAAATGTGGGAAGCAGCAATGGGACTTTGGCGTGAGAAGAAGTCTGAGTCTCTGGACTGTTTGCCTCGGTCAATGGGGTTCTCCACTTTTGATTGATTAGCTTTGCCCTTTGTTAATTATTATTTTACATAATTTCGTACATATTTTAGGTAGTAGTCTAATTGCTTTTGGGCCCATCAAATTTATATATATATATTTTTTTTTGATCAGTATTTATATATAATATTATTATATTCAATAAAAAATATTTTTGGGGCTCCCAAAATTTTGGGGCCCTATGCAGAAGCCGGCTCTGCCACAGCAGTACGGGAAGTCACTGTTGCGGTCCAAACTAAACGTGCATCATCATGCTGAAAAATTAAAACACACGACAATGCATGATTCACTAAAAAAAGCATAACTGTAGAATCCCAGGAATAAGTAAACGGGACATCAAATTATTAAGCATATTGAAACCGTTCTCAGTTTGGCGAGAGTTCAAATTGAAGGTGCGGATACACAAAAATATGTATTGAGAATATGGCCATTTAAACTAAAACCACAAGCACAGGTTCCAATCAAAGCAAGGCAGTGTTGAGTTTCAGACACTGCAAATCGAATTTCGGGTTTAAATACTTTTAACATTCGGACACATTCCCAACAAAAATACACAAAAACGAGACCGGCAATACCCAGCATTCGTTTAAAGAAAACAAAACACTACATCCTATTGGCCATAGTACGATGTTAAAGCATGAATGTTTATTAGGTATGAATCATTTCAAACTATATTTTACATTAGTGTCCTTAGAGATATGTCAATTAAAATATGTCATACATTAGTGCATGAATGCTTTAAAAGGTTCAATTATAAGAAATTCTACTTATAATTTGTACTATAAATGAGCAACACAACGAATGATATCCGAACCTTTTTAGGAGTTTAGGGTGGACTGCTTCTATAGAAAGGCACTAACCTATGCTTATTGTAATCACCCAAGTAGGCAAGCAAGAGAGAAGCAAGAAGAGAAGCAAAGTAAGCAAGTAGCTTGCAAGAATCAAGAAGTGAGTTTCACTCTAAGTGTGAGGGTGAGAATCAAATAAGAGTGTGAGTGTTCTAGAGTTTGTCTTTATACAATGAGAGAGTGTTATAACTTCTAAAATTGTGTCTTTGAGAGTTTGTGTTTTGTAATTTTTGTAAGTGTAATACAAATAATTTGTTTACGTTTTCACTCTCCAACACTTATAGTGCACTCTAATTTTTCTCAACAATTGATATCAGAGTGGTACAATCAGAGACTGGTTATAGTGAATTTTTTGAGAATCGTGAGAAGTTTAGTACTTCGCAAGATTGTTGACTAATCTTGTTCGGCTTATCGAAGTTCTGCTGGCATGATGGGTGACCTTCAAGTTGTTGGAGGAATCAAGAATCTTAACAACACAAATTACAACACGTGGGCGACATGCATGGGGTCTTACCTACAAGGCCAAGATCTTTAGGAGGTTGTTCTGTGGTAATGAAGTTACGAAGCCGCAAGACACCAACGAGTCACAACACTTTGTGGAAGTGGAAGATCAAAGCAGGCCAACCAGCTGGCCCAAACGTTTGAATGCAACGGCTATCTGGCGTTAGCATAACGCCAGCTAGCAACGGTTAGCTGACGTCGTACCTAAGCCATGTCGCTATGTCGATAAGAATCCTATCTAAAATGGGAAATTTGGAAATATAGCCATTTTAAAGAACACTTACTGAAATATATCCTAATTTTTTTTAATTCTTATAAATTTAACCAAAATTGATGTTAGAAGACAAAATTACCCCTAGACTAAAACTTTCCCTTCCTCCTAATTTTGTGTTTTTTTTGCACTGAACGTCGTCCCTATTATTGAACTATCATGGTCCAAGCACCACCACACAACTTGTTATCTCTTTACCCAAATGAATGTCACCTTTTTCTTACCACAAACCATGCAGTTAATGCCTCAACCGTACGAGTTTCACGATTGCTACCTGAGTGGTAGGTGGATCATTGGGTTCTATTGGATATCGGCAGCTGGCCAATCTTTAGCACGCGCCGCCCCGCAGCTATACCGTTTTGTGCTCTCTTTCTCTCATCCACTTGTATGAAAATCAAGGGTAAACTGGTAATTATGGCAATGTGGCTTTGTTTGCTGGCTATGTTGGGGAAAAACTTAGAGTACACAACTCTAACACAAGTGTTGGAGAGACAACACAAGTAAACAAATTACTTGTATTACATTCACAAAATATTACAACACACACTTTCAAGGACACTCTTAGAAGTTATGACACTCACTCACTTTCTAGAGACACACTCTAAACCACTCACACTCCTCACAAGACTACTCTTCTCACTCTCACTTGGTTGCCTACTTGCTTGCTTCTTGGCTACTTTCTTCTTGATTGGTTGGTTACATAGCTTAGCACCTCACATATTTATAGTGTGAGGTTTGCCGACTTTGGTATTGCTAAAACTTTCTAGCTACTTATCATGCATTGCACCATCACCGACATAGGCTTTGCAATATCCATACAATACTACAAGCTGCTAGAACTTTCTAGCTTATTATGCATGCACACGGATTTTAACATGCAGATTTCAACTAGAAAAATCTAGTTCATTTGCAGCTGCCCACCAACATTAGCTTGCTAGAATATTCTAACATATTCAAGCATGCACCAGCCATCTTCAATATTATATGCTAGAATCTTCTAGAACAATTCCATGCATGTTTGAACTAGAATAATCTAGTTCCTTTGTATCAACTGATCTTAATGGGCTGGTGTTGATCTTTAACAGGCTATGCATAAATTTCCCGGGTTTTGATGTTTTTTTTTTTCGTTTTTTATTTTTTGTTTTGCACTTGCATGCATCATTGGTATCGCAGCTTCTAGCTGTCTTCCATGCATTATTGCCCTTTCATATGCTGTCATAAATCCTTTTCCCTCTCACTTCCTCAGTCCCAGATTCTGCGATAGCAAACTTTATTTACCAAATATAGAGTAGTCATTGAACTGATTCAACCACCCACTTACCAACGCACACCCGTGAGGAAGACGACTGACTTAGCAGAATGGCGAGCTGTGTATACTGGAAAGAAAGAGAAGCTCAATCTCATGGAATTATATAAAGGTTGAAAATGGAAGTCGGAGGCCGAAGAGACAGAGGAAATGATAGATATCAGACATAACAGAGAAGCATCTCAATCAGAATTCAGAAATGGGAAGAAGGGAGGAACTTAGAAGGTTTTAGTATTAGGGTAATTTAGTCTTTGGAACATAAATTTTGGTTAGTTTTATAAGAATTAGAAAAAGTAGGTCATATTTTTATACATGTTCTCTGAAATGGCTATATTTTCAAATTTCTCATCTAAAGTATGCACAACCAATTACATATCGACACGTGGCACTCAAAATTCTATCTGAAAAATTATTGAGATTACATCTCGACAAGAAATCTGGAGAGTTACTCACGTTAACGACAAGTGCCACTTGAAATCCTATCTAAAAAATTATTCAGATTATAGAACGATAAGAAATCTGGAGACTTATTCATTTGGCAATAAGTGGCATTGAAAATATGTCCTAAAACCTTATTTTAATATGGTAGTTTAATTTAAGTAACCATATTAATTCAATTAAAATAATAAATTATGTTTGGCCTATAGCCATTTGGTCCCCTCGGTTAGAGATGGTATAAAATATGGCTTGACACTGTTCATTAAAATATAATTTCTTGAAATGTTATAGGATTAAAAGGAGCTTTTTGGCCCTCTTTCGGTTGGAGATGGCCTTAGTATGCCAGTCTATTTCACAAAGTAACCACATGCCCAACTTGTACTATGAGAAAGCTGCTCGTGTTGTGTTGAACCACAAGCCTTTGGTGGTTGAATTTTCCTTATGGATCATGAAAATCGTATACCACAGTAGCACGGGAAGTCACTGTTGTGGTCCAAAATAAACGTGCACCATCATGCTATAAAATTAAAACACATGACAATGCATGACTCACTAAGAAAAGCATCACAGTAGAATCCAAGGAATAAGTTAACGGGACATCAAATTATTGTTAATCATATTGAAACCGTTCTCAGGTTGGCGAGACTTCAAATCGAAGGTGCGGATACACAAAAATATGTATTGAGAATATGGCCTTTTAAACTAAAACCACAAGAACAGGTTCCAATCAAAGTACGGCAATGTTGAGTTTCAGACACCGCAAATCGAATTTGGGGTTTAAATACTTTTAACATTCGGACACATTCCCAACAAAAATACACAAAAATGAGACCGGCAATACGTACCCATCATTCGTTTAAAGAAAACAAAACACTACATCCTATTGACCATAGTACAATATTAAAGCATGAATGTTTATTAGGTATGAATCATTTCAAACTATATGTTGATGCATAAAATTAGTGAGGACTTTGGTACAACAGAAAGTGTCAAGTTTGTGACATTCGCTAGATTGCTCCGGTCACTAGTGTGGATAAGTATGCAAATGAATAGAGACAGGGAAGCGAACACAAGATGTACGTAGTTCACCCAAATTGTCTACGTCCACGGAGTAGAGGAGTTCTCATTAATTGTGAAGGGTTTACACAAGTATATAGGTTCAAGCTCTCATTTAGTGAGTACTAGTGAATGATTTAGTACAAATAACATTCAGAAATATTGTGAGAGAATGATCTCTATTTATAGAAGAGAGTTCCTAGTTTCATTCTGACATTGACACGTGTTGTGTTGTGATTGGCCTCTGATGTCGACATGTGTCACGTTATGATTGGCCCCTAATGTTGACATGTGTCGAGTTGTGATTGGCCTCCTGGTTGGAGGGAGACTCTTGTGGGTCCTTAGCGGTATAATGTTGACCGGTGCTTAGTAGTTTCGGGGTCGGGGTTAGTCAAGTATGGTACAAACACTATATTTTACATTGGTGTCCTTAGAGATATGTCAAGTGCATGAATGCTTTAAAAGGTTCAATTATAAGAAATTCTACTTATAGTTGGTACTATAAATGAGCAACACAACAATAGATATCCGAACCTTTTTAGGAGCTTAGGGTGGAGTGCTTCTATATAAAGGCACTAGCCTATGCTTATTGTAATCACCCAAGTAGGCAAGCAAGAGAGAAGCAAGAAGAGAAGCAAAGCAAGCAAGTAGCTAGCAAGAATCAAGAAGTGAGTTTCACTCTAAGTATGAGGGAAAGAATCAAATAAGAGTGTGAGTGTTCTAGAGTTTGTCTATAGATAGTGAGAGAGTGTCATAACTTCTAAAATTGTGTCTTTGAGAGTTTGTGTTTTGAAATTTTTGTAAGTGTAATACAAATAATTTGTTTACTTGTTTTCGCTCTCCAACACTTATAGTAGAGTTGTGCACTCTAATTTTTCTCAACAATTAGTATCAGATTGGTACAATCAAAGATTGGCTCTAGTGAAGTTTTTGAGAATTGTGAAAAGTTTAGTACTTCGCAAGATTCTTGACTAATCTTGTTCGGCTTATCGAAGTTCTGCCGGCATGATGGGTGACCTTCAAGTTGTTGGAGGAATCAAGAAGCTTAACAACAAAACACGTGGGCGACATGCATGGAGTCTTATCTACAAGGCCAAGATCTTTAGGAGATTGTCGGCGGCAATGAAGTTACGAAGCCGCAAGAAGGCACCAATGAGTCACAACACTCTGTGGAGTGGAAGGTCAAAGCAAGAAAGGCCATGTTCGTGTATTCCTTTTTGTTGTCTCTGTTTTTTGTGGAGTAAGATTTATGACCCCCCTGATTAGGTGTAATTTTTTTCATTATCAATAAAATTTCTCTCGTACTGTCGAGGTTTCTTTAAAAAAAAACAAAAGTTGGAGCACTTACGAAAAGCTTCAACGCCGAAAGAAGCATGGGACATCTTCGCCACACTCTTTTAAAAAAAGAAACGATACGAGACTACAGCTTCTCGAGAACGAGCTGTTATCGGTGGCCCAAAGGGACATGACGATTGCTCAATATTTCCACAAGGTAAAGTCTATATGCCGTTAATTTTTTAAGTTAGAACCTATTGCATCCATTTTAGAGTCCAGGATAAAAGGAATATTTTTCCATGGGTTGAGACCGAATACCAAGGCTTTGTTGCCACTGTGCAAGGATGGCCGATCCATTTATCACTTGTTGAGTTTGAAAATTTGTTTGCCGATCAAGAAGCTTTGACTAAGCAAGTGGAGGGGTCTCGTCAAAAGGTAAGGAGGAAGCACTCTACACTAATAAAAGTAAAAGCAGCTTCAAGAAGCATGTTGTTAGTGGACCTAAAAGAAATGATGATGAGGCGAAAGGTCATCAAGGAGGAGGAAGTTCTCAAGTAGGGGGAGTTCCAAAATATCATGGCAACTGTGGTCAGTCCCAAAATAATAAAAGGCTTGAGGGCAAGTACTACAACTGTGGAAAGAAGGGCCACATGGCAAAAGATTTTTAATTTCAAATATTGATACTCAAAACAATTCAATTGATAGTATGTTCCTTTTGTGTTCCTATTTTTATTTTGTGATTCTTTGTTTTTTGGTTGATCTTTCTTAAACTCGACATTCGAAGCAAGAACAAGGCTGCAGTACTGCATTGAAGATTCTTGAGACCCAAGTCTCTGCCTCCTCCAAAAGGGTCTTATCCAAACTTTTTATCACTTCACTAATTGCATTCAAGGCCACTAACAGTCCATCTTCTCCCAATAGGCGTTTTGTTTCTGCAACAGCTCGATGTCCTGCAATTCCCGAAATAGGTTGGTAGTAGAGGAGGGTCTAATCATGAATAATACTTTCTCTGTCTTGATCTCCTCAGCCCAGAGTAAGCAAACCCATGTATAGGCGCATGTTAGCAAATATGTCGACAAATGCAGTAGTTTTGAATGATCAGCTTGTTCCTTCTTCTTTGCCATCATAATCCTCATCACCCGCCTTAACATTTCGATTTTCGCGCGTGTGAATTCGAAGGTGCCTCGAATTCCGTCTCCTGGACCTCGAGCCTCCAAAAGCATTAAGCTTCTGTTGTTTGGACCACCCAGTCTTAACCACTCGTTTGAGTAGATTGCTTGGAGCCCGGAAGGGTCCTTTATGACCTTTTTGTTGTGACTTGGCAAAGGTGGCAGTCCTCCTCCTTCTCCATGTTTGCAAAAGTGACCCCAAAATTTAAAAAACGAGATGGCAGATAAGCCATCACAGGCGGCATGGTGCATGGCTGATCCAATCGAAAAGCCGTCTTTGGGAAAGACGGTTATTTGCAATGCCAGCACAGCAGCTTTGTCATGAGACGCTGCCAATTGGGGCACAAGAGGATGGTATTCTTTGGCTTCAATGTCAAAATTGTTGCTCGATATTAGACGGTGGAAATCAGCATCAGACTCGGCGATTGTGAGCGAAACTGCGTCGCCTTTGATATAACTGAGAAGGGGTTTGGGGGAGTCTAGAAGCCAGATGAGGTTTCCCGCTAGAGGTACAAAGTGTTGGAGGGTGGCAGAAAGCGAGGTTTTGAGTTTCGGAAGTACGGAATCGAAGAAGTGTGATGTGTCGAATGAAGGCATGTTGTAGAAGAAAAGGTGTTGAGGGGGTGGGAACCTTAGCCAGCGGAGGTCAAAGAATGTTAGAGGAAGAGACAGATCCTCCGGGTGGGCGGAGTTCGGCGGCAAGCTTGGTTTCGGAGCTACTCCACGAACCTCAATAACTTTGACTGAGCCTGGTTTTGCCATCGGAGATGGAAAAGAAAGCTGGACCCCTAAAACCGGGAGCCGAACCGAAAATTTACACACGGTTGGGTGCAGTTTCAAATCCGGCACGCAGCTCCTGGAAGAGATGGAGGTGGAAGAGAGAGAGAGGCACGAAGAGAGAGTAACGGCCTCTTGACTAACTCATTTATCATACTAAATTACAAATTATATCTATAGAGAACACTTAAGAAACACTAACTTGGATGGACTAAGCTCAATTTCTAAACTAACAAGCAAAACCTAAATATTAAAATAAACATAAATACTAATATTTTCCAATACTTGGAACCGAAAACTGAAATTAAAACACGAACAAAATTCGACCGCACTGAACAATTCGGTTTTGCCATTTTGAAACTGTTTTAGTTTGAAACCGAACTGCAGTTTGAAAAAAGGTTTATTTTCTGTTTTGAACATATGAAACCGCACCGAAACTGGACCCTACGGCAAAACTTAAAAAGGTTTTTTCTTTGGTTTTTATATTTGTGGAGCTTTTAATTTGGTCCTCGGGGCTTTTTCTGGATTTGATCTGGTTGTTCCAGGCTTGCAGACCCTCGAATTAGTATTGCTTGCTGTTTTTCTTGTTTGAGTACTTATATGTAAGTGGTACCATATTGTACGTAAGCAGTTCAATGAAACTTATTAGTCAGAACTATATCAACTAGGTACTAGGATTACAATACATTCAATTCATGCCGAGTATAATACCGCACATAACAGAAATTTATCTCAAGAACACCTACTTGTATTCGACGCCATGGATGAGATGCAGGTCAGTCTTCTACTCCCACTACTCAATAGCTCCCTTACTGTATGAATAGGTTATGTGACAAAAGGAATGGAGAACACGTGTGTGTAGGATGATCCCTTCATCTTTTGGTGTTTCGGTGAACTGTTTCCAAAAAGGCAGAAAGGAAAAGAAACAGCCATGGGTTCTCTTTAGGTGTCGAAGAAAGAAAAATGTGTAGGTTAATTTCTAGACATCAGAACTGCAATCCGTTTTTGCCTATATGATCACAACGTCGAGCTCTACGAACGAAGGTAAGAGTTCAAAGCTTATTTGCAGATTTGAAATTATATTTTGGTTGGGGATTTCATGTTAATAACTTTGAAAAAATTCATGTTTGAAGTGCTATATGGTTGAATTGAGAGTTTTGGAAGTCTCAAGGCTGGTCGAACAATATTGTTGAAGAAGACAGAGGTAAAATTTTACTTGATTTGGAGTTATGGAATTCAATTGTGCATTGGTTGTTAGATGGCATTTGATATATGGCTCCTGAATGGATTTCATGGAAATGTTGATTAAACTGTGATTCATGTGAATAAATTTTGGATTTGGTTATTTTGGGGATGTACATGCACTGTGCAGATGGAATTGAGACGTGTTAGTTTATGTTGGTGCATGCAAATTGTGTATTGATATTTTCTTTTTCAAATTAGGCACTTTCTTGGCTTAAGCAAGATCAAGAGATAAGAGTGAACAATTGTGGAAAGAGTTAGTACCTAAAGCTTGGAATATCAGGTAGGGGACTCACACCCTGGTTAGTGGTTTTCGATATGTATTATGTATGTAAATATGGATGTGTGCAAGCTATGCATTGGATTTTGTTGTTGTTAGAACTGCATGTTAGGAAAAGGAGTTTTATTTTTCTAGCATGTGATTTATGTTATTCTAAATTGTAATGACGACCTGAGAGTGAAGGGGGCTGTGTGACTATCCTGGGCTTCGATCCCCTAAACCTCTGGAGGGTCCTATACAAACGAACTCGTATCATTAACCGTAAGGGGAAAGGGTACTTGTGTCTATGTGGTATAGGTTGTAAGTGGACACTCTCACTACCCTACCTCGTGTTGATATTACTTGAGAATTTATTTTAGGTATGGTAGTTGGCCGCGTGTTCGGTTGTCAGGACAAGAAGAATGCAGGGATCCCACTATAGTTAATTTTGAGCATGAAATAATTTTAACTCATGCCAAAACATTTTGTTGTGCAAATTATTTCCTTTATACATAGTACAAGGGTATATCTATTTTCAAACCTAGCTAGGGTGCCTCCCGAGGGGGGGCAAATGATTGTATGTGATGCTCACCCCTACATTTTCAGGTGTTGTGCGAGAAATAATAGAAGAGTTGGACTAAGGTGTGGGGTTGTAGCTTGTAAACCTCAAAGCTTCGAGTCAGAAAATTAGCTTTTGAAATGTAAATATTGATTTTCTGGTTTCAATGAAAACTGTATATGTATAGCCTCTTTTGCTTCTGTATATATTTATCTAAACCTATCACTCCTTTGGCTTTTGTAAACTGAACTTTTGGGATTTCTGTTGTAAAAAGGTTGCTTATGAAATGGTTTGAATGTTATGGATTTTACTTGAACTCTGATATTTATTTTGATATTAATTTTAGAGGCCTTGTGTATCGTAAAGACACAGAAGAATTGTCATGTTCTAAGAATGGAGCATACAACTCTCGAGCGTTTTTAAGATTCACGACGTTGTCACGATACATTTTTTGGTCATGACACTAGGGTTACACAACCAGCCTATTAACAGCTGTATATCCTTATCATCTTAATAATGAATGAGTCCTATTATGATTTAATATCTTTGCATTCAATCCTTATCAGGATTTCTTTAAGTTAGCGGCATGGAGTTAAGACTCCGTAGTCCTCACGAAGTAAACATCAACTATACCACTTGTATTAACAGTCATTCAAGAACTTCAGTTTTCTTGAACTAGGCATGCGCTTTAGAAAAAGAACACGCCTGCGAAAAGACGAAATGAACGCGCCGACGGGTTCACGTTTCTAGGGTTTGTCGGTGTCACTGCCGGTGTCATCTCAGCGTCCCAGCGCCGATCTGGGTATTGAGTCCTTGCGTTCCTCACCGAAGTGGGTATTGGGTCTTTGCGTTCCGCACCGAAGTGGGTATTGGGTCTTTGCGTTCTGCTGTCGTAGCAGTAACTTGTTGCTGAAATTGGGGTTTTAAGCTCTGCAATTTGAAGGGGTCGTCTGCACCTGCAGACTTGCTGCACCAATAGGAGACTTGGGCTCTCCTTTAGAGAAGACTTCCATTGTTGCCCACGTCTACACACTTTTCAACAGGTTAATTTCTAATTTTATATTTAAGTTTTTAATATTCTTTTGAAATGCATTTTGTTTTAGGTTGATTGGTTTTCATCGACAAGTCACCCACTGCCCTATGCCTATGGGGCTTTCTTGACTTTGCTACTTCCTCAAAATTGAATATTGCCATTGGTTCATTATTCGGACAATCCCCAAAAGCAAGGACCTTTGCTTCCATTGTCACAAGTGATGCAGAAACTTCAGTTAATTTTAGTCAACTTCCTATTCCTACTGTTCGAGGCGATGTGACTTATGTCAAGATTAGTGAGAACCTTTATCAAGAACAATTACGCTCATGCAGAACAAACCTCATTGGTAGACTTTTGTTAAAAAAAGGAACGATGACGATGAAGACTAAGTTTCTCAAGAGTGCCTTGGCTTCTTTATGGAAGCTTTAGAATTCTTGGAAACTAGTGCCTCTAGGCAGAGGATATTTTGATCTTCATTTTTCCACCAAAGAAGATATGAGAAGAGTGTGGGGTGGTGGAACCTGCACACTTCAATTTGGTCTTTTTAGGTTGTCCCAATGGCAACCGGACTTCAAGCCTGGTGACGTCCTTCCCCAAACTTATGCACAGGTATGGATCAAAATATATAGGTTAAGTCAAGAGTATTGGCACCATCGCATTCTTATGGAAATTGCTCATAGGGTGGGTACCCCACTTCAGTTGGATCATGCTACACATGAAAAGTTATATGGTTATTATGCTACAATTCTGGTGAATGTGGATATTTCTCTGATTTGCCTTCATCTATTATGGTTGAGCGGGAACAACATGGTTTCTTTGTTGATATTATTTATGAGAATTTGCCTCCAACTTGTGGAAATTATGGTGTAATTGGCCATTATACAAACAAATGTAGGCATTTAAAGGGCAATCATTCAGATGGGATGCAACCAGATATTGAGGCTTGCCGTCGCGGACGCTCACCAACTCGTCAGGTTTATCGTCCAAAACCATTTACTAAGATTGTTTCTCCTTAGGGTGATACTATACACAAGGAACGTTCTCCTTCAGTCGAAATTATTCATAATGAGCGTTCTCTTGGACTTAATAATGATATGAAGGTCCCACCTTGTAGCTCTCTTAAGCAATGGCATGTTGAACAAGTTAACGATTTTGCAAATCAAATATTAATGAGTGTTGTGAATACCGAGTTAAGTGTGTTGGCTGACAAGGTTATTGATTCGTCGGCAGATCTTCATGGTCAGTTAGAGACAAATTCTGATAGACAGCTTCTAGAGTTACAACCAACCAATAATATTGATGATACCCGTTCCTGTAACTTGAATGACACTCTTTCAAGGGAGACCGATGATGAGCCTACTGAAGAAAATAATATTGCCCATATTGATTCTAATGTTGATGGAGATGTTCCACCTGGTTTTGGTCTGAGGAATGAGATCAATGTTGTGGATGCAGGGAAGGTCTCCAATGACTTTACCCTAGTTCTTAGTAAACCTCAGCAGAAGAAACAGAAAAAAAAAAAAAAAAAACCAAAAAGTTGACGTATGTAGGCAAGAAGAACCCTATGTTACGAGGGCAGGAAGACAAGTTATCTCTACCTCCAAATGAAGTTAGTTTATTGGAATATTCGCGGTATTAGGAATTCTGATACGCGTACTGAGCTTTCTAATGTTTGTCATTCCCATCATCCCAACTTGGTTTGCATATCTGGACCTATGGTTACTTTTGATTCTATTCCTTCTGTTTATTGGAATTCATTAGGTCTATCTTTGCTTGCTATTAATAACTAGGGTGATTTAATGCATAATATTTGGGTTTTACATTCTACGAGTTATTGTTCTCCTATTGTGATTTCTTCTTTAGGGCAACAAGTTACTTTTCAAGCTTCTTATGATGGTGTTCTTTCTCAGTTTACTATTGTCTATGCGGCTACTACTTCGACTCTTCATCGTGCTTTATGGTGCAATCTCTTAAATATTTGTTTTAATACTATAGTACTGTGGATGGCAATTGGTGACTTTAATGCTATTCTTGGAGCACATGAACAAATAGGTGGTCACTTACCTGTTCGAACTTCATGCGAGGACTTTCGCAGTACTACTGAGCTTTGTGACTTTACTCATATGGAACTATTGGTGCTTTTTATACTTGGACTAATGGTTGGAGTGTTCGTGGTTACAAGGAGAGGCTTCTTGACCGCTCTTTTTGTGACACACATTGGTTACAATCTTGGTCTTATACCAGTTGTTTAGCTTTGCCCATGGTTGTTTCTGATCATAATTGTCTAGTTTTCTCTGCTTCTGCTATTTTTCTTGGAAGACCACGACCTTTCTGGTTTCAATCCATGTGGACATTACATTTAGGATTCTCTGATTTGGTTGCTAAGTGTTGGCAGCCAACTGTTGCATATGGGTGTCCCATGTTTGTTATATTGGAAAAGCTTAAAGCCCTTAAGCGTTGCCTCGTGATTGGAACTCTAATATTTTTGGCGATGTCCATAGAAATGTCAATATTGCTAAGGAAAAACTTCATCATATCCATAATATTATTTCTTCTGATGGGAATTCTAAAGAGAGATTTAATGAGGAAGTTGTGGCTAAGACAGCTATCCTCAATGCTCTTCGTATACAATAAGCTTTCTGGCGTGATTGTGCCCGAGTTAAATGGCTTACTGAGGGTGATCATAATACTGCTTTTTTCCATGCTTATGCTTGAGGTAGGCATTCTTCTTCTAGGATTTTTATTCTTTTGGATGGTGATAATGTACTTTCTTCTCATACTGCTATTGTTGATCATGTGGTAAACTTTTATCGGTCTTTATATAATTCTCCGTTCGTACCAACTGGAATTGAGGATGTTTGTGGTGTAATTACACCTATGGTTAGTGAAGAGGAAATATTTTCTCTTTCTTGTTTACCTTCAGTTGAAGAATTAGAAGTGCT